TTCTACTTTTTTAACTATAGCAAATTTTACGATAGGAGAAAATATCTCAGTTAACATTACCTCTCTTATTGTAAAATTTAAGACGACAATATACGTATACATAAGGCAAAGTGTGTGTCTAAAATTAAAAATTGAATTGGATCTCTTCAGTGTTCTTAACTATGTTCAGCACAAAGGTGATGTTGCATATTTTATGACTGAATTATTTTGGAACGATCCCAAGGACAAGGATTATTAGCTTCGTTTTCCCGTTTCATCGTGAATGCCAAACACGTGTAGAATTTTTTGCAGAACCTGTGACTTATCGAGAGAAATAGAAAACGAATTAAAGATCGTAATCGAAGAGCAGTGAAAAAGCGTTGCCAAAAATGAGTTAAAGGAACAAGCGCGAGAAGGAGAGATGGATGGAGAGCAAAAGTAGAATAAAAATCGATGACGATCCCGAGATTAAATTTGAATTTTATGTATAATGCACGTATAAACACTGCGATCCTTAAAAGCAAAGGTGCGCGAGAGGCAAGTAGATTTTACCGCGTTGACTCTATCAACCCCTCGAGAGTTAATTTGAGTTGCTAAATCAGTGCCGACTCTCGACGAAGAGGCTTCAGGCGGAGGATCCTCTCCTACGAGGCTGCAAAGTCAGAGATCCACAGAAACTACTCTTAACTGGCCGATAAACACGAGTTAGCTGTAAGGCAACTCATGATAGTGAGGTTTGCCGACCTACTTAGCTCTAACTTAACGGTAAAACTTTACTGTGTCTTAATTAGAGAAGAGTCGATTTCTATTACCTATCGCTGTAATATTCAAATTATAATGCCTGCAAAAATCTAATGTAGAAAAGTAATATATGAAGAAGAGTAAGAGTATATGAGTAATATATGAGTATATGAAGAAATATGAAAACATGTAAATATGTATAATATTGTATATGTAATATGTATAATATTGTATAATATTGTATATGTAAATATTAAATATGTATAATATTGTATATATAATATTATATATATATGAAAAAAAGAGAAAGAAAGAGAAATTGTACTATTATATTTTAAATTTTGTTTGTGAAATGAAAATACGTTTTTCGTTCACTTCCATTACTAACATTTTTAATTTTTAATTTTCCACTTTTTCCTCTACATTTTTCGTTGTTTCTTTATCAATGCTCGGAATTAATTTTCCGGGCTTACATTTTCTGTTGTCTATTGTAACACGATTGAATTCTCTCTGGTATACTCGAAATTCGGCCGAAATTTTACTACGAATCAAAAAAAATTGCGAACGTATATAATCCAACTTCGTGATCTCCCGATAGTATCAAAATCTTGAATTGATAGAGAACCGTGTTGCAAGGGACGGAGAAGAGCACATGCATCATTGATGGGGACTCGTGAGAGTTGCGGGAGGATGCCATATCACGCAGAGCTGCTCGAGAAAGCGGTGTATTCCAGGTGTAAATAATTATTATTCCATAAAATTTCACTTTTGATTGCATTTATTTCCTTTCGTATCCTTTCGTATCATTTTATATTTCGTATCATTTTGTATTTCTCTCTCCTGTAAGCTCGCATTTTTCACTCAATTCTCGACTTTGCCAAGTTCGCCACTTTATCGAACTTTCCATTTTCTCTTTCTCTTTCTTTAGAACTTTTCGATCTCCCTCCGTCATGCTCTGTCGTTTATTTCGGCTTTACGACTCCACTATTCAGTCCCGTCGCCGTTATTCGGCCACCCTCTGCAACTAGCTCAAGTTTCTAGCGAGGGAACAAAATGAAAAGGGATGTCAGCGAATATAGTAGTCATTCTTTAGAGGCGTAACCCTTCTCTCGGTAAAATGTCTCTGATTTTCTAGTATTTTGAAAGTACCACGTTCTTTTCTCGCTTATCTCTTGAAATCGTAGATAGATTATTTTTATTTTTTTAATTAGAATTTTATAAATATCGATATTAATTTTTTTTATGTAGAAATATTTATTGATATATACATATTATATAAATAAGTTCAATAAGTATAATAAGCGAGGAGGAGATCTGCAAAAGAAGTTATAAAATTTGTGGGTGAAATTTTCCAGTTATGAGAAATATCGTCAATAAACGGATTTGAAGAAGCGGATTTGGATTGTTGTGCGCGGGGATGTTGATGCAGAGAGAGAGGAAAGAGGCAGAATGAATTAATTAGAACTGCCCGCTTCATCAAGAAGGAGAATGATATTAACTCGCTTCCCTTTATCCCTTCTCTATGATCGATTATGATTGCGATTAAAGCCTTAAACATCGTTACCTAATGCTCGCACGAACAAAACATGTATTAGGCCTGAGGAAATGGAAGATCGGTTTATCGATTTTCACAGAGAGAGAACGGTCTTGTTAAAAAAAACTTGACGTAATCCTCTTTTCTCGCAATTTGACATGTCCTTTTAAAAAATCGAATTTTTTTCAGCATGAAAATTTAATCTACAATATAAGTATTGAAATTTTTAGTAATTAAATATAATTCATAATTATATAATATCAATTAATTGTTTGTTATATAAAATAATTTGCAAGATAATTTTACTTAAAAAATTTTTTTTTAATTATTCCAACAATTTTTCTAATATAAACTTTCACGTGCTAACATTTTCGATATAGATATAGCAAACAATTTCAGTTACTCCAATGACTATATATTAATATTAGAATTCTACAATATATCATATAGATATATCTACTTTTAATCAAAATTGTCCCATATCGTGAAACAATTTTGTCTAAAAATAGATAAGGCCATAATATATTTTTATGTGGCATTGTCGTTAAGTGGATTACGAATGCGAGATTAAATGAAAAGGGAAAAATTCGCGGTGCGATTCACGTCACGAAAGAAGAAAAGGATAAGCCTTTTGAGAAAGAGGAGAAACTTACTTCGCAGCTTAACGAATCCCTGTAATTTAAATCCTGTCTCGCATTTCGCCGAGGTTAACTCGCCTAGCGAATATTTTTACCACGCTTTTTCTCCGGTCTTCCTTCCGTTATTAATGTTTTTTTTTCTCGGATCGAAGTAAAATAAGTTCTCAAATATATCGCGGTGAAATTTTTTCTTTCGCGTTTTCCGGCCACGCTCATTCCCTTGAAAGAAAGAGAGAGATAGAGAGATCCCTATTCTTTCTTTTTCTTTTTATGTACCTCGATTAGCGGATTTCCGAGTTTCTTTTTTTCTTCAGAATCCAATGGAGAGATAAACCGTGCGCACCGTGCTTCCGCAAATTATGCTTTCGAATCTTTTTATTTCCCTTTTATAAGTATCATGAAGTTCATAAAATTGAGTTTGTAAAATTTTAAAGATCTATAGTACAAAAATAAGTTTTGAGATTAACTTTTTCATCGTCGATTGACGATGAATATTTCAATCATCGGAATCTCGATCTTGGAGCAAGTGTCGAGTCGGCTGAATGATGCATCGTTGTGTATTTTAATATACTCTCTTGAACCTCTCCGGAATAACCTTTAAACTTTCTGAAAGCGTGATTGTGCAAATTGAGATCTCCTGGATATGCGAGATAAAATTCCAGATCCCTTTCGGATCGACTAAATGTAAGAAAAATATGTAAATTTAATTCCTACCTTTGCTCTTTACGGAGTGAATTGTATTAAAATGTTATGCAAGCACAAGATTATTAATTATGTCTGCAAATAAATTGCAAAAATGGAAAACGGACACTAAAATATTATTACGACCGCATTTAAAGAGCTTGCGGAGTGGAATAATTTCATTCGATAGGAAGTCTATTCACGAAATTTGACAACAAAAGCTCTCGATAAATCAACACATTTAACAATAGCGAACGCTGATAAATTACGGCACATTTCTTTAACTCGCACGACTCGCGCATAAATCAAAATGGACATCGAATCGAGATAATGCCGGCTGCATGCGGACGCGCAGGTGCATCGAGATTATTACTGCAGTTTGCGATGTACCTTGATATATTTATCTTTAATCTTTAGTTTAAAGCAAAAAGGACTCTCTTTTACGATTTTCTCTATATTCTCAATCAAATTTTTTTCTATAATTTTTAAAAAAATTTTAAAGAAACTTATCTCTCAACTTCAAATTTGTCGAAATAATTTTTCCGTCATTTGAGCTTTTGCAAATCTCCATTAAGAGAGGAGCTATGTATCCAGAGATTAATATTTCTTGCAAGCTGCCAAGTAAACAGCAACAAGGCTTTTCATCGCGTATAAAATGAAGGCAAACGGAAAACGTGCGCGATGTCGATGAAAAGCGCGAAACCGCTCTTGCTTCGACTACCCTCGGTTCTCATTGGTCTTTATGTATGGTATTGTCTCCCAACATGGTGTCCATATAATTGGACAAACATGGTTGATATTTATGTAACAGTACCCGACACACGAATCACTGTTTGTACGGTTGCGCACGATTGCACGTGACATAAACAAAAAAAAAGAACAAGCACAAATTCGACTCGTGGGAGATCGTCGTAAAATAGAGGTGCTTGTGAGAATAAAATAGTTCAAGAGTGCCTGTATTCTGCAATCAAGTCAGGTGCCAGCGAGAGGAACACGAACGAATTCGAATTGACGTGACGTCAATGTGATGACAAACAAAATTATGGTGAAAATATGATGAAAAGGATTGCATTATATAGTTATATCACCGCGTTTTACAAGCAAAGTAACTTGGTTGTTTAGGTGAAAAATATTTCAAAAGAATTTCTTTTCAAAGTATAAATATTTTGAAAAGATACAGAAGCATATATTGACAAAAGAGTCTCTGGAAAATAATTTAGAATAAAACGTTGATACTTTTAAATTTTCTCTTCGCGTGCGTATAATTTTTTTCTTAATATATGAAAAAAGTAAATTTTCTAAATATTATTAAATATTAATTCATATATTCATAAATCTATTTCATATGATTGAAATGAAATTTGTATGATTTTGCTATAATAAAAATGCAAATTTAATGCAAATATTTAGGAAAAAAGGAAACTTACCGTTTCCTGTGGCCATGATGTTTCCCAGTAATCTGCTCAAAGTTTTTCCACTCTCTTCCGGCGTAACTGACCCCGACGCACCGGTTTCCGGTTGCGTCATTACATTCATCTGTAATATAAATAATATTTTATTGCTTTACTTAAGAGAACTATCTTAATTGCACAATGAAATCTATTCTCATGGTTGTCATAAATATATTAACTAATATTTAATATCGTTTTTAAATATAACATTTAAATATTTATATTTAAAGCTTTGAAAGTAAATTTTTAAAAATATCGATGACAGATTATTTATGTATATACTAAATTATTTTCTAAATTATAATATTATGTATTATATTATTATTAAAGAGTTAAAGAATTCGTAAATTTAGAAAAAATAAAAATATTTTAGAAAATATATAACTGCCAAATCATGATTATAATATATACAAGCTTATCAAATGATTCGCTGGAAAACTCTAATAATGGCCTAATAATGCAAACTTAATAATGCAATATTTGAACACGAAGCACTCTACATTCGTATTTACTTGTACATCCTTGACCCAAATGTAGATATTAATTAATAACTGATCCGCACATCTCTCTCTCCCTCAGGCATTTCAACAGTAACATCGTCAAACTCCGTCAGTGTGATTATACAAAGAGGAATCAACTAGGAGCAATTTGAAAGGGAGTCGAGAGTTAAATACTTTTCCCTCTAAGCGAAAATTCTTATCTAGTACTAAAATTGGGGCGAAATATGCGACTCTTTGGTTTACGTTTCATTAAAACGTTATATTACAGTACTTTACAAGAATTATCGCCGTGGGGCTAAACTTGCGAACCTCGGAGATTTTAATCAAGAGTCATCATAGGCTCTCCTCTCTCGACAGGATGGCAAGAATTCTCGCGAGCTTACGTGCGCATTATTTTATGCAAAACGTGTGAACGAATTAGCGAATAGAGATCATTTTATCCATTTTATCATCTCGACATCTCGTAAGTTTTATATTTCAATATTTGACATTTCTAATAATATATATAGTGAATAATATCTTTCTCGCAGTTGTTTGCGAGATTTATATAATCTAAGAAGCGATTTATATAATCTAAGAAGATTTATATAATCTAAGAAGATATTTAAAAAACTGTTCACAGCAAATATGCACCGCAGATTTTACGATGATTAAATTATTGATTATTTAATTACTAAAACATAGTTCCGAAGTTATGAAAATGATATTTAATTATTGGAAAATTATTCTCTTTTTCTATATTCTAAATTTTTATTTCTAAATTTATATATTCTAAATTTTATACCAATTTTACATTTACAAGAATTTACAAATTTACAAAAATTTACAATAATTGTTCAACAATTTTTATAATATTATAATATTATAATATTATAAAAGTATGAAAGCTAACTTAGTAAAATAAAAATAAAAAATATAAACAACATTAAAGGCTCTCGAAATTAACAAAATAAATTAAAATATTGATAGGCCATAAGGAGCCAAACGCGGATGTAAGGCGTGTTCTTTTTAAATAATTATCCAAGAGGACGATCAAATTAAACGGTCATCTTTAATACCAAACGTTTCGTTCATCTTTAATACCAAGTTTTTCGGCTTTCTCATCCGAGATTTCATAAGGAGAATTTCGAATTCATTATTGACATTCTCTTGAATAATGGGTATCCTCTCCCTTTTATTTTCAACACAATTGTTGACCGACTTAATATTTTATTGCATAGATTCAACAATAGATTGGATAATACTTTGACTGCAGATAACAATGAGGTTGACGGTGTTGATGGAGGGGGGAGGATCTCATATTTCAATGTTCCGTACGTTAAGAACTTTTCCGAACGTTTCCGACAATGCGTTAGAGATCTAGATGTGAAACTTTCCTACACTGGAATAAATAATTTGCGCCGTTTCATTAAAGTTGGCAAAGACAAGTTAGATAAGGACTCTCGCAACAACATAGTCTATAAGATCAACTGCATGGATTGCAACGCTTCCTATGTGGGACAAACGGGACGTTTGTTGAAGACCAGGCTCAAGGAACATAAAAAGAACCTCACGTCTGTCATTGCCGAACACAGAGCTCTGGATCACACGCTCGATTTTGATGGCGTTGAGATTTTGGATGAGGAGGCATTTCTGGGGAGGAGATTGATATCGGAGATGATCCATATTAAACGTCAAAGAAATGCATTAAATCTCCAGAACGACACCTTAAAGCTGAATGCTTCTTGTCTATCGATAATCGATAATATATCGAAGATTTGATTGCGATTGTTGTACGTTGATTGCTTTCGTCCTCTGTACATGCGGTACTGTTATTATTGATTACGCGTAACTGTCTTTTCACCGTTGGCAGTTAAATCTGTTGTCTAATCGGCTATGTGCGCGCAAAGTGTTCGTGTTCGTCTTTGTCACGTCTTCTCGATACCGAGTGAGCTATAGTTGCATATTTTTGACTATTTTTTTTTATTTTTTGTTTTTTACGACGTTTTCATATTATATTTATTTGTTTAGTGCATCGCTCTTTGCGCCTTGCACCGTTTAAAGAACCATGTATGTCTGGCTTCCTTCGAGTTGACTTGCCTTGATGAGCTCGCGTTTTCTCTCAACGATCATGCACGTATGATGACTATGTTTTTTCCGTATTTTATTATGATTGACTGCGTTTTAATGTATATATCTCATGTGGTTCCTTTTTGTTTTGTTCAGAATCACTGAAGAAGGCTCGAATTGAGTCCGAAACGTTTGGTATTAAAGATGACCGTTTAATTTGATCGTCCTCTTGGATAATTATTTAAAAAGAACACGCCTTACATCCGCGTTTGGCTCCTTATGGCCTATCAATATTTTAATTTATTTTGCTAACTTAGTAAATTATAAAATATAATAAATCTTGCTGTGTATGTTATAATTTTAGATACACAATCAATTATATTTTATTCTCCTTTTGGTTTCTTTTCTTTTAAACAAGACTAGAAAACTTCCGTGTTATGTTTCGTGCTACTCGTAGAACAAATCCAAAGACATGAAACGGCCAAATCCAATTTCCTTTTTTTTCGAAAACAAGAAACTCGAGTGCTTATTTTCCGGAAAACTTTCAGTCAGCCAGCGTCATGTACTTTTTCCAGAGCTTCGATCTGGCCACGATGACCTTTGAAGTATAGGACGATGGTAAATATCTTTGCAGAAATACAAGCGAGTCCCATGCAAAAGCCAATCTCGTAATCGAGATGTAAATTGCATCGCATCTGGCCGATTGCCAATTCTCTTTCTCTCTCTCTCTCTCTCTTTCTCTCTCTTTCTCTTTCTCCCTCTGTTTCTCTCTAACTTCATTTTCTATCAAACTCCGCTTTCTGTTTGTGATGCGCTTTCGGTATTCCGCAAACTTCTCTTGCCCGAGATACTCGCCGCCACCGTTGTTCGCCTCTATTCTGCATCTATGCATACTCCCCTTATACACAAGCTATTTTTTGAACATTGAGCGTGGTATAATACAAGGCCCCGTTCCTGGAGTGATTCCAGTGGTCCGAAACAGTCGGTTGGACGCTCCCATGATTTGATTTGGGCTGCTGCTAATGAAATGCGAATATATATATATATATATATATATATATATATTCGCATTTATATATATATATGTATTGGGAATATTAAACGCTCGGCTGACCGCACGTGGCTCTTCCGTCCTTGTTTTTCTGCCTGCGCGCGTCATTTTACAGATCAGCACAATTATCGAATCCGATGTGCATTTAATTATATCGTATATAATTTCCGACAGGCATCGTTGATTTTATGATAACAGGATAATACCGAATCACGCTGTTATAAACAAATTTCTTGTTCGAGTTGCGGATTAGAATATCCGAAAATGAAGATAGATTTTGAAAGCACCTAATATATTTGACACACTATATATATTTTAATTAATCGCGCGGCGCTGCCCGATTGCCAATAAATTCGTTCTTGAAATATTGGATTCACTTTCACGTCACTCAGATGCATCGCGCGTTCAGATTATATATATTACATTATTAATCATTCAAAGTTATTACGCCTGTGCAACACGCTGTTACGCAGCTGTTCAAACTATTGTATTGTGTTTGTCGTATCACACAAAGTTTCTTTCTCGTTTTCTATTTCAAACTTATTGTCAAGATTATCACGAAATTATATAATTTAAAAAAAAGGGAATAAATTACAAAAAAAAATACATTGCAAAGAAATTGATATGCGTTTGGTTTTATGGCTCTTAGCCTTGCTAATTAATTTATAATTATCCACGAGTAATATACTCGTGCTGAAATACTCAGTACATTTTCATCTCTCGCGAGTTGTCGAACAACGACCGCATTATCGATAACACGTGTTCGCAAACGTTATGACACGCGTAACCGAAGTTTCGAGTTCGTAATCATCAACCGTTAATGAATTTAATTGACGATATTCTCTGTTCTGCCATTATTTATGGTACTTGAGAAAAAAACGGGATATGGTTGGAAATTTCGCGAAAATATGGATTCTTGCAAGTTACAATAATCATTATTCCGTGAGTATTCCATGAGTATCATTTATGTAATAATAATTGTAAATTTTTGAATCATTGCCCTTAATACTTTTTCATAATACATTTCCAATACTTTCTCTCTACAAATATAATATTTCCAATCATTTTAGGTCCGAATATATATGTGTATAGCATGATTAATGATGATTTAAAAAGTATTATTAAAACATAAATATTTTCGCGATTCAATATTTAAAATTAATTAATATCTTGCATAGCTCGTAAACGTTTAATATATAGCTAAACGCAACTGTTGCTGTAGAATGTAACGGAGCGTAAAAGTTCACGATTTCCATGCATAACGTGTAATTTACGACACTGGAAGAAGTATAATCGCATGATAGATGAAAATGGCGGTGCGCCCATGTTTGCGTAGATACTCGCGAAAAGTCGTGCTCGTTCGCTTTCCGACTTATCGGTCACCCGACCACGGTCATGATAAATAATCGTATCAAGTTGAAAGCGTGCGAAAGGAAAATCCGCAATGAGAAAAAGAGTGAATAAAAAGAAAGGAAAGAAAAAACT